GTATACAGTTGCATGCCATATGCATGAGAGATTCACGAAGGTTAAACAGGCATATGCTTTATTTTTTCTTGGTTTTGATTTTGTAGGCTGAAGCTATAAGAAAAATTCTTGGTCAAGATTCCAGCAGAAAAAAACGAGAAGAGAAAATGAAGAAGCGTCTGGAAGAGTTGGCACAGGTATCCGCAATTGTCTGGTGAACTTCCTAGTGTCTTGTACAAAGCTGCGTTCAAATTTCTCACATGTTCATGTTTAGGAGAAGGCTACCAACGCCCAGATGCATGCATCGAGTACCATCAGATGGGTCATGGGTCCTACAGGGACTGTTGTGACATTTCCCAAAGAAATGGGTCTCCCCAGTATATTCGACTCTAAACCCTGCAGGTTTTGTTTTCTTCTGCAAATTGAAAATTCATGCCAAAGCACCAAATTTACGAGGCCAAGCTGATATCAACGATTGTTTATTGATGATTTGAATTCTCTCCGAATGTGCAGCTATCCTCCTCCAAGAGAGAAGTGTGCGGGCCCTTCTTGTACTAACCCATACAAGTATCGAGATTCCAAGTCGAAGCTTCCGCTTTGCAGTCTACAGTGCTACAAGGCAATTCAGCAACAGAGGCAGCATGAAACTAACTGATGATGCTTAAAGATATATCTGCGTAGCCATGTTAATATATCATATAACTATTGGGGCCAGGCTAGCAAAGAGGCATTTTTTATTCAGTATAGAGGGATTATACAGATATGGATGGTTCATTTTCTGTCATCTATAGCTTAAGGATATTAAAAAAACAAAAACAAAAAAAAACTATAGCTTAAGGGTTGATCAATGGAAATTTGTCTTCAATTGAATGGAAATGATGTTACTGAGAGCTTTCAATTCAATCAAAATGATGTTACTGATTAATTTTCTCCTTTTTTTTTTCTACTTGATAAAGAATTCCCCTACCTTCTCAAGTCTACTGGTTGAGTGCAGCTAATGTTTCTTGAGGTAATGTTCTTATGGATTTTTCATGGCCATTCGATGATGGTGTGACTTGGTAACGGTCCGTCCAACACAATCATGAAATGAGAAATTATAAATTATAGGTCTACCAAACAAATTAAATGATCCTTCTAGTTTTAAAAAATAATTAATTTGTGTTTTTCGTTTATTCTATCTTTTTAAACTTAATTAATTTATTTGTTTTAAGAACTAAGAAGATCGAAAAAAACAAACAAACAAATGGATAACATAGAAATAGTGATGAGAAAAGAAGTCATTTTTTTAAAATGAAGTAATATTAAATTAAGTTCGGTCAACATTTATTAAAAGATTAATTAATTAGTTTTAAAAACTAAGAAAATTTATTTAACTCCTTTTGTAAGATTATAGGGATTATTTTAATAATAATTTACTAAAAAAGATGGGACTCCCTTGATTCCTAAGGAACTCTCATGCTTTAACTTTTCCTGCAGTTCCAATTCAAACTGCCAATTTCCATTTCTTTATCATCTTTCCATTTGACTAGATAGTCTCCGTTAAACAATTATATTGGGAATGAGGTGTTAAATTTTACCTTTGCTCTCGCTCTCCTCTTCCAAAAGAAATCCCGCAGTGTTTCTTGCTTTCATAATTACTTTAAGGTTATTGACGTTAATTCTCTCCTAATAGGGAGTAAGATTCTTGGTTCTTCTTTTTTCTTTTTCTTTTTTTTTTTTTATCGCAAAAGAAATTAATCATAAGTGGTCGCTTTTAGGATGTTCATCCCTATGACATGCAAACAAACATGGGGCTATTTTTTTTTTTGGCTTATTAGAATTTTTTTAAAAAAACAACATTGTTTATACGTATAATAATTGGAAAACATAACATTTAAAGCTTGCTGCTATTGATAATAATAAAATCTAAATTTTTTTATTGAATGAGCATGAGAAAAGAGAGATAAAACAAAAAAGACTTTAAAAAGTATTACAATTCTAATTATGAAAAAGATCTTGATTAGATAAATTTATTAATATCAAGAAAATATATAAAAAATGACTCTGAAATGCCTCACTTGTTGTCAAAGATAAATAAGTCACATACTATTTTTTGACAACAAGTAATGCCCACTTGGTTTAACATTAATGATTTTTTTTAGTATCGTTGAGTTTGTTTTCCAAGATCATTCCAATAATACCAATGATGTTACAATTGAATTCTTAGTGTGTTTTTGACGTAGTTTGCTTTTTTTTTCCTCTCATCTTTCCTATTAATTTTTATTTAGATATAATTGACATGAATAACAATAAATTATAAGTGTTGCATTTCTCAATTGTAATATGTGCAAATTATGTTTTTTCACTTTTTTTTTAAATTATGTTATTTTACTAATATTTTTAATTTACAATGCTATTTTTTTAAAAAATAAACCCAAATATAGTGATTAGATTTCATTCTTGCATGTTTAATATTATAATATATGATAGTATTTTCTACTTAAAAATATACTAAAATAATTTTTCTTAAGATTTTTTTATGTTAGTACATAAAATCATAAAAAAAACAATAAAAAAATTAATTTGATTTTTTTAAAATGAAATATATTTTAAAAGACACCCAAAATCAGTTTTTTTTTCTCATGAGAAAAGAGTATATCTTATCATGCAGGATTAAAAAAAAAAACTTAAAAAAGATTGATAGAATAAATTTGTTACATGTTAGTAACCAAGATGCACCAACAAAGAGAAATCAAATTTTAATTTATTTGTTTTATTTTTTATTGGAAAGGAACACACTACGAATGGCCGAATACCAAATAGTTGTATTGGAAGAAGAAGAAAAAATGCACAAGAAACGATGTTGCAAGAAATAAATATAAAAAAAAAGGGAAGTAAAACGAACTTAAAAATAATAAAAGAAATAGCGGACCGATACCACCCGTTTGGCAAACGGGTCAAAGAAAGACCCAAAAGGAAGATATTCAGCATGTCAGTCTCTGTTGTAGCCGAGGCGTTATCATCCGTTTTTTAGCTGAGCTCTCAGGCACACACTAGCAATATCATCAACTACCTCCTCCTCTAGCCCTAAGATTTTTATAGGATAAGGCGCTAATACTAGTTGATTCGAAACACTAAAAAATAATCTTAGAAATGGCACCCTCATGCGTCTCCTCATCGGCCTCTTCCCTCAGATTCAGCTCTCTTCCCTTCTCGCCAAACCCTTCAGTGGGCTCAGCTCTTGATACCCACAAGCTCGCTTTCTCCTTCCACCCTCTCCGTTCCAGGTTAATCGCCCTCCCTTTTTTATTACTGATTTATATGTAACTTTTTTTTTGGGTCTAGAAAATTTAGCAATGTTAAAGAAAATTAAGACTAGGATGTTTGCTTATTACTCAATGGTTTTACTGTTATTATCATTATTTTTGGATTCACTGAAGAGTAATAAATAAATAAAAAATTGAAGCTTTTTTCATTTTGTTAAAGAAAGTTATATCTTTTTTAAAATCTGTAAGGAAAAAGAGGGTTTTAGGGTTGGATTTAAGCTCTACTAGAAAATCCTCTTTTGAGCACTGATAATTGCTATCATTAGACAAGGATGCTAGAAGATTTTTACATATATTTTTTTAAAAAAAAAATTGTTTCATCTTTGCCATAGATAGTCGAGAAATTCAAGTGTCCTTGTTGTCTACTTGTATTGCAGGAAATTGAGACAGTTAGTCAGTGATAGGAAGACTATCCAGACATCTTCACCGAAGGCTGTTTACTCTGGTGAGTTTTGGTCGCCTGAGAGAAGTTCGCGACAGGGAATTTGGTCTATAAGGTAGGCAGGGTTTATTAGAGACTTTACACCTTTTAACTTGCTGTTTTCATTTTGCTTGATGTGCTAATAAATGGAGAAAAAAAATATGGAACTGGTTTTCTAGGGATGATGTGCAAATCCCTTCTTCAACCTACTTCCCTGCCTATGCCAATGGAGCTCAGGCTCAAGGACCACCACCAATGGTACATGAACGGTTCCAGAGTGTTATCAGTCAACTTTTTCAACATGTAAGTGAATAGGTTAAACATCTTCCTGTGCTTGCTTATCGTCTAACATTGAATGCTTGGTTGTTTTTATATAACGCTTGATTTTTTTGTTGTTTGAATTCCTAGAGAATTATACGCTGTGGTGGAGCTGTTGATGATGACATGGCAAACATTATTGTTGCTCAACTTCTCTATCTCGATGCTGTTGATCCCAACAAGGTGAGTTTAGTGACTTTTCATTGTGTCTGGCTTGTTTCGTATCTATCATTGTGAACTTCATTTCAATTTCTATTTGCTTCTGAACCTCCAACAGCATTAAAGTTTATGATCTTATCTCGCCATTGTTAACTGAATTTAGTCAAGCTATATAACTACAACACATGCACCTGCACCAACACAACCACATGAACCTGTTTTAACACTGTCCTCTTATCTGAAGAAATGGGGAAGCAGTTTACTAATTAGGGCATGCTTTTTCTTCCAAGCAGGATATTGTTATGTATGTGAATTCTCCTGGAGGATCAGTTACAGCTGGTAATTCTTTTTTAGATTGAAGTCTTCTTTTATTTGTTACCTTTTTCCCAGTTACCTGGGCGTGTGAAGGAGTGTTGTTTTTACTTTTTTGGACTCTCTCTCACATGTTCTCTTCTGTACTTTTTCTTAGGCATGGCAATATTTGACACAATGAGGCATATCCGACCTGATGTCTCCACTGTCTGTGTTGGATTGGCAGCTAGGTACAAGATTTACTATTTTCCTATCTTCTTTCTTGTCATTTATGCCTTCACAGCTAAATGAATCACTGGTTTTTACTACATTTTCCTACTACTTATGCCTTTGTTGCATGACAAATCAATATAGACCGATTTATTGCTTCTTTTATTCATCATTTGTTTGCAGAAATAGTTGTTTTAAAGGAATGTAATTGAATTATTAACAGTAGCTTTTCTGTCATAGATTGGATTCAACTATTCTAACCTTGCTGTCCCATGAGTGAAGCAGCATCAGTTTGGGAACTTCTATTGATACTATGTGATGTAGATTGTTGGTCTTGTTTGAGTGTAATGTTTATTGATGACTAGAGAATAATATGGGTACCTTCTCAGTAGATGCATGGGTACCATGGGAATAACTTAAATAACTTGGTGTCAAAATCTTGAGCTAATGGCAGTTGATCAACATTGATGTTCTTATGTTAGATCCTTGGGAAGGATAATTACTAGGTGAGGTCAACTCACCATAAGACCACACTTAAAGGACTGTGTGACTTGCCCTCTTATTAGTGTGGGGTAATGGTAAGCCATGCTCACCCAATGATTTTTCCTTGATAACACAGTTGAGCTAGATGCTTTACTGTCAATGACGCATGAAATGAAATTTGTGTAGGATCTGAGAAACCGCCTTTTCGTGTACAAGAATCAAAGTCAATGCTTCTTGAGGTCTAATAATTATTTGTGTTATTGCTTGTCAGTGCAATTTGGTCTGGTATCCTGTCTATTATGCGCTTTGTGTGGCTGCTTGCATTTTCCTTTTGGATGATTATCATGTATATCCCTGGAGTTAGAGTGCGTGCATCCTTAGCAGGGATTCTATGATCGATATGCAACTTCCCAGCATGTATGAAGTCTTTGCCTGTGAATTCTATGTTGTATTTTTTTTCCCAGTTAAGGACCACCAATGGTTGTCAAAACTACTGCCACACTTCCTCTTCTAGGCTGAGGATTTAGTATACTAAACTCTGCACTTGATCCTTTTCCTGTCACTTCATATGAATAGAGTGCTTATAGAACCACTAACATTCTGTATTAAGTGTAAAAAAATTATTTTAAGATTTATTGCTGCTAAAATAGTGGGAAAGGGAAAATAATTTTCCTTAAAGAATACCATTTAATTTTCACTTGGCATTCTTTAACATTTTCCATTACTAAAAATATCTGTCTTTTGTTCTCTTAATTTTGGTTAAACAGTATGGGGGCTTTTCTGCTTAGTGCTGGGACCAAAGGTAAAATGCCCATTACTTGTTGATTTAAAGTTCGAATCTGTGGTTGCTGCTTCAAAATTTACTGAATATGTTTCTCTTTTCCTATGTGACTGAAGGAAAAAGATACAGCTTGCCGAATTCAAGGATAATGATCCATCAGCCTCTTGGTGGAGCTCAAGGTGGGCAATCTGACATAGATATCCAGGTATGCATCCTTTTTCTCCCAGACTTGTATTTGCTTGTGATTTGTGAAGCTTTTTTAACAGGTATATCCTAGTGCTTCTGATTTATAGCCATTCCTTTTTCCTGACACGAACTAGGTTTTGATCTGAAATGACTTCTTTGTTGTGTTATGGGAGACCTATTGGTTCCCGGCACGCTTTCTCATATCTTAAATCGGCATAATTTTCAGGCAAACGAAATGTTGCATCACAAGGCAAACCTAAATGGGTATCTCGCCTACCACACTGGTCAAAGTCTTGAGAAGATCAACCAGGATACAGATCGTGATTACTTCATGAGTGCGAAAGAAGCCAAGGACTATGGGCTCATTGATGGTGTTATCTTGAATCCTCTCAAGGCCCTCCAGCCTCTTGCAGCTGCAGCAGATCAACAATGACACGTCTAGCGCGTAAAATTCTCGGTTGTTGTTACTTTAAATTGTAGAGTTGAATGAGAATGATCAAAGAAGACCCTGAGTTTGTTTTAATGATCAAGAATATTGATATCTATGATCCAGGGAATTATAGAACATGCTTTGCTGGTAGTACAGGCAGAGCCTTTTCTCCACACTGCGCTTCTCTCCCATAAACTGTTTCTTTTTGGGCGATTTTTAGTTTAACTAAATCCTGAGAAAGAGCTTGAACAGACCCAACAAACGCATCCAGTTAATTATTTCGTAAGCCACTCATATGCCCCTGAAATATATAGAAGTTTTCAAGATAGTCCTTGAATGGTCAAACATTTTCAGTCTCTGTTACTATGTCTACAGTTCCGATGTTTCCCTTGTGTTACATGAGGTTGGGTTCTGAATAACATATACGGCGCAAGGGATATGCACTGGATAAAAAATATAATGTTAGGTTTCCGAGACCTTTTCTTCTCTGTGTTATCAGAAAAAAAAAAATTAAAATCTTTGTATTTCTTTTATTGGATAAGCGAGACGGCAACGAAAAGAAAAAAATAGTTTATTAAATAGATAGGTGGTTTTTGCTGTGCTGTGGCCCGGGTTAGGTTTTGTTTTTAATGTAAAATAAATATTTAGGTGTGGTTGTTTTTTAAAATATTTTTTATTTAAAAATATATTAAAAAACTATTTTTAATATTGATACATTAAAATGATATAAAAATACAAAAAAATAATATTAATTTGAAATAAAAAATGAAAAAAATAATTTTTTTCAAAAACATTTTTAAACCATGAAAAATAGAGTCTAAAAAAAGATATAAAAAAATTTTTAGGATTCATGTCATTGATTTTAATAGTAGAAAAATCCGGGATTCATGCCATTAATTTTAATAAACTTGATTAATTTAATAATATAATTTATATAAGTTTTGTTTTCCTTTATTTCTGTCTATAATATTAAATGATAGTAATAGGTAAAAATATTGACTAGATAGATTTTTTTATGTTTGCATGCATACATAAAGGTCATTTTATATATATATACTCACACCTGCAATCAATTAATGTGCTAGTGCCTTACAAAAATATTTAGCTGAGTGTTAAAAGAGAAGTATACCAGTTATAAATATTGGCACACTCCATGCTTGAGATTAGTTTTATTCGAATTAAAAACACAATAATGTATTGATTTGAATAATTTTTAAGTTTACACATCTCTCGGCATAGTATTGGTAGAATTGGACTTCTTATTCGAATGTTCGAGGCTATGGGATTTGATGGATTTACTTGCTTCTTTTTTTTAATTGTTTTTTTTTATTTGATTTTTAATATTGAGGTTTTTTTATTTTTTTCTATTGAGTTATTTAGGGTTTATGATCTGGATGATAGTTTTGACATATTAACTTGAATTAATTTGATTTTTTTATTATTTTTTTTAATTTTATTATTCGATATTTGATTGTATATTTCATGATTTTTCTTCTTGCAAATATTTTTTATGTGCAAGTTATCATAATTAATTTTATTTTAATTTGGCATGTTTATCATTATTTTTTTGTAACTATATAATTAAATAAAACTAGCTTACTAAACCAAGACAGTTTTATAATTTGAGTTGCTAATTTTTCTCACTTCCTTAAAATACATTGATGGCGTCTGAAAATCTTTTTTTACGAGACCAATCCTAGTCATTTCATTATTGAATTTAGAAAAATATGTGCATTTGAATTTCAAGATTAAAAAAAAAACATTAAAATTGAATATTATGTTTAGTTTTTTCGTTGAAAAATGATTTTTTATGTTAGATTTATGTTTGCAAGGTAAGATATGAAAATGGGGATTTTATATTTTGCAACCTTCCCTTGCTGGAATTCCACTCTTGCTTGGGCAAGGTTGAAGTCATTGAATGACACGTCATTTGCAAGAACAACGCTTCATCCATGTCTGCATGCTTGGACTTGGAGTAAGGCCCAGAAAAGCTTGGGGTCAACTCCAAGCCCAGATTATTTTCTTCTTCTTCTTTTTCCATAATATTTTTCTCTCTGTTTTTTTTTTAAATACATTTTCCTGCTTTGAATTTATAAATTTTAATTTTATTACTTATATATGCTAGAAAATGAACAATAAATTTTTTTTTACCAATCTATTTTTATATGATTTTACATGTATAAAATTTACTACATTCATTCTTTTAATTCAAGATTTGATATTATTTTAAGGTAAATGACATCTTTTTATTGAAAATAATTATAATATAAAATATGCATTTATTATCATAAAAAATAAATTTCCTATAATTTTGAATTTAATGCAAGTAAGACAATGTACGATGTCTGATGAATCTATACTTATTGTACTCGAAACTACAGTTTTTCTTTTCCGAGTGAAAAAAAAAAATAAAAGTATTTAATAAATAACATGCATAACAAGGATATATGAGGGAAAAATAGATTATTTTTTTTATATTTTATTTCGACTTGCCCTAGTACTAAACAAAGACAGAAACAAAAAAGAGTCCATATATCGTACCTTATAAAAAATACGAACACATCTCGTCTGAAACATCTTGTCTCGTCTATGTTGTTATATCTCTCTTTAATCTTGTACACCATTCCAAACCGGACCTGTAAAAAACACAGGGGAAAATACAATGGTAGTTGTGTATGTACACTTGCCTCAAATACAAGGAATTTCTCTTTATAATTTTCCTGGTCAATTATTGTGGTACAATCTTGAGATATATTCAGGGATAGATTTAAATTATCTGTAAGTTTTGGGTATTTAATAAGTATCTATTATCTACTAATATAGTTAATATATATTTGAAGTGTATATATATATTAAATGATAAATATTATTCATATATATGTATTTTATATTAATATTAAGGTATGTATATATCATATTGCATTAAAAAAATATAAATATAAATATAAATTTCAGGTTAAATTCAAGCATATTTCAAGTAAGGTTTTATATTATCTAAAAAATATTTAAATA